ACCGTATTGTCCTATAAAGATACGAGCTCGGATACGAGTATACATACTATTACATACACTAGCTTTGATGACCCCGCCTGGAGCCCTGCCTCAATATCTCGCTCGAGATCTCGCTCAATATAATAAAAAAATCGGCAGTGCAATTATAAAAATATATTTCGATATTTCATATAGTATTTGAAGGGAATTCATACAGGGTGTCTGTATTTCGAGCTTCACCATGGGGTTATTTAAATTGTGGAATACATGTATCTGCTATCAGTAGTTTCTGTTTGGGCTATATTTTAGCTACTCTTTGCCAATTTCAAAAAACACACTGAGATAAATACAAGAATACATAAGTATTATGGTTTTTCCAAACAGTATAATAGATATGTCTCGTAAGGCATTCATAATAATTTTCAGCATTAAGGCATTAGTCGGCAATATCAGTAATATATCGGCAATAAACTAGAATTTAATGCCGAAACTGAAAATAGGTGTACGCTGTACATAATTTTGGAGCTTGTCCTCCTCCTCGGAAAATTCATTTTTTTTATTACTCAAAAGCTAGCTCAAAAGTATTTTTTCGTAATTCCAATCGAAATTTCAAGTATAGAACTTTCTTGTTCCATGTGTTACTTTCTAGGTTACTTTTGTACCGAGTTTTGTACGCTGTATCTCGCCTAATTTTTGAACAAGCCAAAATTCGATTGGTCTCTTGTGACTTTGGAAAGACTATATACCTTCCATTTTTCTCAAGATTTTTCTATAGAGACTTCCACGGAAAATGTTCTTCAGAAATATCTGCTAGGTATTATTCCAGCGTATTCCAGTCAGACGTAGGTAGGCACTCGACAAGCCGTCAGCACATCCTTTCTTCGTCAAACTAGAAAATATGTCGAACGAATCTTTACCAAAACTCTTTTTCCCTCGCTTTTTCCTATAGAACAGCAAAGTTGGCAGAGTTCATTTAATTCTCAAGAATTAATAATCTCCAACTCTCCAAAAGTTCAAAAATTCGAATTCCTACCTTCTCTTCTCGCTTCTCTTCCTATTGATACTCTCTAGCCGCATAATGTTTCGTTCTGGAATTTTGAGACGTTGTCACTTGTCAGAAGTGGGGACCAGACTGAATTCTACCACCATGGAAGCCGAGATGAAAGCTTATACAGGGGAATCATAAAAACAACAATAATTAATACCTATCCTTCCAGTTGCCAAAACGAACTTTTATTCCTTAAAATACGTAGGTACATATTAAAAGTAAACACCACCAAATCTATTTTTTTTTTATGTTCTGGTTCCCACGAAAAGGGATATCCTGTAAAGTTCAGAGAACATCGTGAGAACCAAGAGAAATAAGGTAGGAGTTAGTGTTCTTCTTAAATTTCTGGAGGTTATATGCCTCGGGGAACACCTCCCTTGGCAATGTGTTCCAGAGCCTCGCTGTTCGTTGGAAGAACGAGTCTTTGGAAAGAGATGTTCTGTAGGTCTCCAAAGTGACCATGAAGGGGTGCGAAGCCTCAGCTCGACGGGTTGATCTCGCGGGGACTGCCAAGGGAGGAACAATTGTTGATATTTAAGAAGTGCATCGTCCATGAAAATATCTATAAAATAGAGCCAGATCGCCAACTTTTCTACGGTGTTCCAGAGAAGTGAGTGAGTTTGTGAGCGAGGCATCACCCACGAGACGAATTGCCCTTCTTTGGACAGAATTCAACAGTTCCAGGGTATGTTTCGGTGCTGCACTCCAAATATGGGAACAGTATTCCAGGACAGGTCGGATCTGTGCCTTATAGATCATAAGCAATTGACTGGAAGTGAAATAGCTCCTGGCACGAAACAGAAAACCAAGTTTTTGGGATGCACTTTCAGCAATTGATCTCACGTGATTTTCCCAAGAAAGGTTATTGCTGATAGTAATACCAAGCATCGAAATGGATGACTCCAAAGGTATGGTTACTGCTGACAAGCTTATGTCGGGCACAGTGAGATCGGCTTTTAAAGAGAAAAGGCATGCTTGTGTTTTGTTTGCATTGAAACCTACCATTGTCGATCTAAATGAAAACCTAGTAGGCGACCTAGTACGCGAGGAGGTACAATATTGTCTGTTCTTTGAATCAAAATCTGTCTGCCTGTCAAGTGGCGCTGGCATCCTGAAAATGGAAAAAGCTCATTTGTTTATGTCAAAATAGACCATATTAGGTTGATATTGTCTTCTTCTATTTTTTTCCAATATGTTAATCAACCACAGATGTGCTTTCCATCATTGACGTGATATTCATATGGATATTCGATACAAAGGCGATGAAGAAGATTCTTTCATGAGATTGAGATGTCATAATCAAAAAATTATTTTCTGACAGTTGTCATTAACTTATAATTTCGTCTTTGTGAATATGTTGAACTTTGAATTCGTATTCTTGAAAATTACAATTATTCCTAATTGTTTCTTCTAGTATTAGTTTTCTATTGCAGTTTGTTGATTGGTTTGTGAGTGCGATTGTGTAATTTTGCAATGTTATCTGAAAACTTCGCACTCCAGGAGGTGGAGGTGTAAAATTATCAAGACCTGGTTTCTCCTATCCCCACTGTTGTGAATTTGAGTCTCAAATCCTGAGGCATCAATGAGTTTATGCCATATTCATTGGATTGCAAGGTGAAATTTTTTTCTTAAATCGTATAATATTTGAAACTTGATGCATTGATATTTCAGGAATGGGAGTTTTTGAAGTGAGCGAACATGATACTGTATGTTTCCAACATTTTAAGGGAACTGTTTCTTGCCAATGAAGAATTGGAAACGGTTTTGGAAGGAGGGTTCGGTTCCAAGTTTGTTTAAGGAAGGTATATATAAATAAAATGATATTTAACAAGTTCCTATATACCTATACAAACTTTTTGTAGCAATCAGCTTATTAGTTTCTAGTTGACTAGAACTATAAGTTTCAGTATAAAAATTACCAAGAACTTGACTTTGGTACCTCTAAAAATTGTTCCAGTCAATTGTCATTGAATTCATTTCAGAATGGTACAGAACATTGAAACTGGGGACAAAATAGATATCAAATATTTTTATAGTTTCAGACTCATCAATGTAGTTTGGAATATGATGCTGAAGAGAAACTCCTTCCTTAAGGAACACGACCTGAAGATGAGGAAGCATCTTAGGAGGAAACGGGCATTTGAACAGATATTATAGAATGATAATAAATAATAATGATGTTTATTCAAAATTTTGACAATATAAATTAAAAAGTTATACTTATTGGTATTGAATATTCCTATGGTTTAATTTGTGGCAATTATAGACACATCTTCTCATATCTAGTGAAGTTAGTGGCTTCAATAAGATGATTTTATAAAAAATAATCATTGTTCAGCAAAACATATATTTAACCTAAATACTTACCTTTGGTACAATATATAATGTTTTCAAACTTACCTGTCAATAAATCTGTACAACAATAAACAGGGTATCAGAGGAGAACAAATTAGTAGAATAAAAATTGCAATAATTCTTCATAATTATATTCAATTCATTAAAAAAATGTCATTCCTACATATAAAAGTTATTTTCCAATAAAATAATTCTAAATATCCCAGCATCTTGATATTTTGAGTTTGGAGCAGAATATCCATAAAACATTGATGAAATAAACAGATTGAGTCTAACCTTATTGCTTCTATATATTCATTTCAGATGGGAAATTTTCCATTCTGTTCTCAAACATCATCATCCTTCTGGTACATTTCTTCTAAACATTACTCACATAATAATTCCTCATGCGATTCTTCCACATCAATCTGTTTGTATCACTCATAGTTTTTCGTTTTTCAACTGAAAAGCTATTCATGTAGGTACTCTTCGCTGTAGGTAGGTACCTACCTGAAATTTTCAAGTATAGTGAATCCGATGTGTACATAGTTTACATAACTAAAGACATGTTTTCACTGCAAATAACGGAATTTCATGAATTATATAGTAACTTATCAAAAATATAGAAGGAAATAAGCAGCCCCTACCTTTCTGCTTGGCTTGCATGTCGAAAAAGTGTGAAAGCACTGATGAGTTTCCGAAGTTTCCACAGTTCCAACTTAAATTCAAGTTGCATCATAAGTCAACCTAATACAGCATTGCCTAAACATCTCCCTGCTTCCATTCAAGTATAGGTAGATGGTTTTCATACTTGATAATATCTTTCATGATACTGTTTCATTTTTGGGTTTCAACATGACAGATTTTTATTTACAAACTTGACAGGACCATGAAAAATGTTTGGGTTAGGAATAAAAAAGGAATAACTTAGTTTACTTGGTTCACATCGAGGTTCACATTGATGTCTCTGTACTACTGAACGCCTTCATTTATTTTTTCAAAGAACAGACAATATTATGCTCTCGCCTACTAACTACCTAACTAGGTTTCCATTTAGATCGACAATGAACCTACCAACGAGCCTACCAAGTTATTGGATCCCCATTTGAGAATTGTTGCACTAATTCATTCAAACCCTGTATGCAGAGTCGTTCCACTAATTCCAGAGTGTTTCATTGGAGAAGTAGAATGAATTTACCGAGATTTACTTTCGGTTAAACCAGAAATTGAGAAGTATATTTTAGCCTCAGTTTAGCTATATCTTTGATGACATATATTAGCGTATAGAATAAGTAGTTTTTTATCTTCATAAATTTCGACACCCCCAGAATTTCAGATACCTACCTACGTGCTCGGGTATATGCGAGGGTATATAATCCGTATAATATATGGATTGGAACAGAGCAGGCCGTTCTTGCGTTTTTTTTGGAGCGAACGGCACAGAAGAAGTAAAGGCATAGAACATGGCCCTATATTGGAGACCCTATATTGTGGGGAGGTATATTATTTAGGTCGTTGACGCGGTCGTAGAGCCCGTAGAGGTTCGAAGGCATGATGATATTTATATATAGGTATATCGAGATATCTTCACTCGTATAAGAGCCTAGAAGAAAGTGGAGAGCAAAAACAAATTACTTACTTTTGTCAACATAAAAAGAAAGGTAATCCAAAAAACACTTAAAATCCACAGTACATTATAAAATCTCCCATATTTGAAAGTAGGCACTAACACAAGTCACTAAAATAAAAACAATCACCCAAGACACCGAACACTTATCTCAAAAAACGCACAGTATTCAAGTGGGCACAGACGGCAACTTTAGTTCAAGAAAGTGTACTTTCATTACTCGTACTAGATAGGAACGTACAAATTTGGGCAATATTCTCAAAATCTCACGCAAACTCGGAAGATATGTGGCAAACTTGCGAATGCCTCCAAAGAGCGGACGCGTTCTAGATGGAACGGGCAACCCAATATTTTGAAATCGACTGTTTGCTGCTCAAGTCACATGGCACTTATGGCAGCCAATCGAATGAGGCCGAGAAAAAACAAACCGGGCGCTGTTGCCGGATCCCAAGAATATTGTGCGAGTATGGATCTTTTCAAATTGGCGCCAAGAGATTGAAACCGTGAGTCGAAGCGACGAATTTTACATTTTTTATGGTGTCATCAGCAGCAGAAGAAGCAGGAAAAGTAGAATGATACTGGCAGGTTGAATTCACTGTGAAAATTTCACATCTAACATCTTCGAGCAATTAACAGCCTGCATTTTGGATCGTTACTATTGCAACTAAACAAATTTCTGGAAATTTTTTCCTCCTCCTTGGGGGAACGAGCATGAATTTACACTGGACATGTTTTGGCGTTTGTTGGTGAAATGATATTTGAATTTGAGTTCACATTACGTCGAATCTATTCTAAGTTGATAAGTTCCTTGAAAGATAATATATTTCTACCAACTTTAGCTTAATGAATTTGTGAAAAACTGAGAGATTGAGGTTTTGTCGACTTATTCTTTATTATTTCATTCAACTAAAGTCGTTTAAATACATTTTATTTAACCTAATAATATTACGTGGGCAACTCTTTCATTTACTGAATAAATCTTCTAGTTTCATGTGAATAATAGTTATTTTCCTAACAAGTGCGGGAAGTGATACTTTCTCGCACGCGAATGCCGATGACCCAAACGACGCCAGATCTTGCATATCTGATGATATCCAGTTGAGTTGATGTTCCATAGAAGGTCCCCAATAGATCCTGAAGAAGGTTCCCAAGAGGTCCCATCAAAGAAGTTTCTCAAGGATGTCCCATGGACTTTCGTAAAGGACATTCGGAGTATTTATGGCCTACAAGCAGTCGATCATCGGCGAGGTGTAAGTTAACGTCCTCGCAGGGACAACATATCAAACGTGCCGACTGGGACGTCCCTTGGACGTTATTTCTAGGACATGAGGAGAAAAAATTATCATTTGCTTGCGCGTGAATGACATAACATCGCCATGAATGACATCCTTTAAATCATTTTCGAAAATTTTTTCGAGCTGACAAAATGACAACATTGTGAAAATTATTCAGAGTCAAAGACAAGTGATGATTATTTTCGAAATATTCTAGTGATTGGTTTATACAAGTGGAAAAAAACCAATACAATATACGACCGTTAGTTCAACGAAAATCCCACTCTTTGGATATACTAAACTTGTCTCAAAAAATAATCATATTGATGGTTCAATTTTTTTGAAAATTATTGTATGTCTGGGTTCTTAGATTACTGACTGTGGAAAAAAGTGGGTCATTTGAAGTTTGATCTAACCCAACTGAATTAGGGTATAGGTTAGTTCAAGTTATAGGATAGTTTGGGTTGGCGTAGATTAGGTTAGATTAGGTCAGTTTCGTCTTGGGTTAGGTTAGGTACCAAGCAAATAAAGGGTTTGTGCATAAATGATCCTATCATCGTAGTGACAGGGGCGGATCAAGCCCTCGCGTCAGGGGGGGTCACGGGCTTCAGAATCCCAATATCTATATAAATATACAAGGTGTTCCATGAGTCATGCACTAACTAACCGTATATGTAATTATCCAATTGTTTATGGTTCTGAAGTTGTAAATGTTTTTAAATTTCTACAAAAAGGATTAATTACAATAAAACCATGTCACATGTGTAATTTTTTCTTTTACAATTTTCATCCACATGGATGCACCTTTCCCCAGAAATAATTTAATGACATGTATCGTTTCTCATCAATTACCTGAGGAAAATGTTGTTTTCCTTGAGTTTTGTCATCGGATGAAATACTTAAGTCGATTTTTAAATGCCGCCGGCATATTTGAAAACTACTCCACAAAGATAACCAATCATAAGAAAAAATTCCAAAATTGTATAATACATATATATATGGGGCTATTCGAAACAGACTTTTTGTTATTAATTTTTTTCAAATGGGTCGCGTTTTTCAGGAAAATTGAATAGCTTTTGAACAATCAACAATTTGATAACCACATATACCGTTAGTTTGATTGCAAGTGACCCCTCCTACCACCCCCCTTCTTTTGATCCATGACTTATGGGACACCCTGTATAGTGGGTGTTTCTTAAACATTGGTAAAATGTTGTGAGGGGTATCCTTAGATATTTTTATGAAATAAGTTCCAATAAATATTTGTTCAAAATTCAAAAATGCTTCCTAAGGGTGCTCCGACCCTCAGAATAGGGCAAGCTGAAACGATTTTTCCACAGTATTTTCGAAACCGTTTGTCCAAAAATCATACGATTTGGTACGCACGTCAAAATTTTTGAAGAATCTAATAATAGGACTAGCTTTTTCCGGGAAAATAGCAAATTTTCACATCGATACCCATTATCCCCTTACAAGCCATCAAAAACTGGGGTTTAAATATAACCCTAAAAGTATGAAGTGTACCAAATTTCAAATTTTGAGTGTGACCGTTTTATAGAACATTGACAAAAACCCGTCTACGAGGTGCCGAAAATTGCGATCAAATACAACTAGCCCTATCGATTTGAATTTGGAGTACCTCTTTCACGTGAAAAACCTTATAACTTGGTATATTTCAATGCACACAAAACACAAGCATGCCTTTGAAGACATCAGCAATAACCTTTCTTGGGAAAATCACATGCATGAGATCAATTGCTAAAAGTGCATCCCAAAAACTTGGTTTTCTGTTTCGGGCCAGGAGCTGTTTCATTTCCAGTCAGCTGCATATGATCTATAGGGCACATATCCAACCTGTCCTGGAATACTGTTCCCATATTTGGAGTGCAGCTCTCAAACATACCCTGAAACTGTTGGATTCTGTCCAAAGAAGGGCAATTCGTCTCGTGGGTGATGCCTCGCTCGCAAACTCACTCACTTCTCTGGAACACCGTAGAATAGTTGGCGATCTGGCTCTATTTCATAGATATTTTCATGGACGATGCTCTCCTGAAATATCAACAATTGTTCCTCCCTTGGCAGTCCCCGCGAGATTAACCGGTCGAGTTGAGGCTTCGCACCCCTTTGTGGTCACTTTGAAGACCTGCAGAACATCTCTTTCCAAAGACTCGTTCATTCAACGAGCAGCGAGGCTTTGGAACACACTGCCAAGGGAGGTGTTCCCCGAGGCATATAACTTCCAGAAATTTGAGAAGAACGCCAACTCCTACCTTTCCCTTGGTTGTCACGATGTTCTCTGAACAATACAGGATATCCTTTTTCGTGGGAACCAGAACATTAAAAAAAGCGACCAAATCTGTTATAGTTAGAACCCTATGACTGGAAAGCGTCAAATCAATGAAATATTGCAACGGTCCCTACCTTGCTATAATACGATCATTTATAGAGACCCTGTATTAATACTACATGAAACAACACTTCCATTTATTGCACAATGCACATTCATTGTCGAGACAGTGATAACTGCAAACTGCGAGATAATAAAGACAGTTTGAGGTTATGTAGAGAAAGTATTGGGTGAGGGTGATTCAAAATTCGATGTAAATATTTTGAGGACGTATTGTTTGGATCAAAATAAAACTATCTTTATAATATAAACGTTTGTCCTAAAATGCACCTCATTTCGGCCAATAACAGTGAGGACCCCCCCTCCAACCCCCCAAAACTAGGTTTACATAATTTTTGAAGGAAGAATAAAATAAAGTGTCTAAGAGGAAAGGCGCCTGTCAATTTTTAGAAGATATGATCCGTTATAGGTCGCGTGCACGATGACCGACCCTGGAAACACAACCTCATTCTTCTGTGAATTATTGAAACACAACCTCACTTTTTTATTTGGTTACAGAGGAATGAATCAAAGGATTGAAATAGTTTTTCACAATATTTTGGCATACGAATCGTGTTTCTTGCGTTATTCATTAATTCAAGCATGCCTTCGCATTGTGCTGTTGTACAATGCACAAAAAATGCAGCAAGAGACTATAGGGAATATGATTTTTCAGGTAAATAGTAATCTCACATAGTTATCGTTATGAAATGTTGTCATTCCTTATTAAAATTCCTTCTGCCTTCTGTCACTTCTGCAATGCAAGCTAATACTGCTAATAGATTCTAGTCTACAACACACACGATCGTCAGCATATCAGACCAGTCCTCCCGATTGATTGCATGAATCCAATCCTCTTGCATTTTTCTAGAAATTTCAGGTATATTTCTATCAGCTCTTATTGCAGAAGGAATTCCGATGAGAAATCAGAGAAATAACCAAATTTCAAAAATGAAAACTGTGAGTGACTATAGAAGGTACTTACTTTTAAATCATAATGTACCATCCGGATTCCTTCGTTTTGTGCTGCAGTTTTTGTGCATTTTACAACAGCACAATGTGATGGCATGAGCGAATTGATCAATAGCGAAAAAAAAACGATTCATATGCCAAAATAATTGTGCAGAACTATTTCGATCACTTGTAAACAAATAAGAAAAGTGACGTTGTGTTTCAATGTTTTGCCTCCAGCGTCGGTCATCTGACAGTTCTTGCACGCAACCCATTCTAGGCACAATTTCAGAATAAATATATATTTTTTACCTAACTTACAGAGGCTATAGCTTGGAAGAGGTGAATTTTAGGACACATGTTTATATGATAAAAAAGTCTTATTTTGATCCCAACAATATATCCTTAAAATATTTACATCCAATTTTCAATCACCCTTAACTCATAATCAGTGCCGGATTAGCCATACGTAGCAAAAGTAGCAAATGCTACAGGCCCCGCGAATTGGGGGGCCTCGCGCTCCAACGCCTGTCCGGCCTGTCTTACTAT